TATCTGATAAGAAGAGTAAGAGAGAGGAGATCAAGGAATTATATAGAAAAAAATAAAATATGAAAATGGTGAAATGGTTTATTCAACCACTGATATAGCTAAAACATTCCCAAAAAATTATAGTAAGTTATACCGGTATGATTTAAAACCCAGTAGCCGGAAAGAATCAGAGGGGGAAAGAGAAAGAAAGAGGTAGCAATATTTAAAAGAAGCGGGATTGCCCAGGATAGAGGAAGAGAGATTGTTAGCATTAGAAAAATAATCTCCCATGAAGAAATAAGTAAGGTATTGAGAAGTACAGCAACAGGAAAAAGCCTGGGACCAGATGGCTTTACACTGAGATATTACATGAAGTTTCAAAAACAGCTTATGCCCAAATTATGTAGATATATGAACGCATTGAGAGAAGGGATGGATATGAGGGAGGAGTCTCTGCAAGCAAATATCACAGTCATATCGAAGGAGGGAAAGGACCCCTCCCAATGTTCTAGTTATAGGCCAATATCACTCTTAAATATAGATACAAAGCTATTTGCAAAGGTTTTAGCAAACAGGATGAAGGGTCTGATGGCGGATTGGATACATATTGTACAAGTAGGATTTGTACCAGGGAGGAGGGAACAGACAATGGATTAAGATCATTGCTCCTTTTGCAAAAAAGCAAGAAAGAGTGGGGTTCAGCATTGATAATGTCAACTGACACCGAAAAAGCCTTTGACAGTATAGATTTGGGGTTCATGATGAGCACACTAGAAGAATTGGGTATTGGATATAAGATGATACAGTGGATAAAAAAATTGTATAGCTTTCCTTCAGCCACAGTGAAGGTTATTGGTTCATTATCACAATTCTTCAAAATGTATAATGAGACAAGGCAGGGTTGCCTTTTTTCACCACTACTTTTTGTTATCTCACTGGAACCACTTCTGGAGACCATTTAAAGTCTTTAGATCTAAAAGGAGTTATGATTGGGAAGGAAGAACATAAGGTTGCAGCTTGTGCAGATGACATGTTATTCTATGTCACGAACCCTAATGAAACTTTTAAAATACTATAGAAAACTGTCAAATTTGAAGATCAATTCCTCAAAATCAGAGATATTGAATTATTTCAGTCTCAAAGTTAAAATAACAGAACTTGCAGGAAGCCTTCCATTTTGTTTGGAGAGAAAGAGAATTAAGTTATTTAGGAGTATAGCTCACTCCCTCTTGGAAAAATCTTTACCAAATAAAATATATCTCACATGTAAATGAAGTTAAGGAAGAATTGAGGAAAATGTCTGTACGGGTACTTTCCTGGTTGGGCCACATAAATATTATAAAAATGGTTATAGTTCTGAAAATCCTGTATAAGTTCCATATGCTTCCAATATATTTACCGGGTTAGTTTTTAAGTATTCTGTAGAGATAAGGTTAATGGTGGATTAGGCGTGCCGGACTTTAAGAGGTTTTATCGCGCTGTACTGGTTTCACAAATGATTGAGTGGATTTACAATACACCGGAGAAGATATGGGTAAAAATAGAAAATACACTAAGTGGGTCACAGTTAGATAAGATAATATGGCTTCCACAATACCGAACTTTTTCGGAAAACTTAAGTATTTTAACACAGAATGTTTTAAGAGAATGGGATAGATCACATAAGCGAATGGGATGGGAATATAATTCACTATTAATTCCACTGGAGGGAACAGATTTTTTCCCACCAGGGAAGGAAGACATTGCAGGTAACTGGATAAAAAATAAAAATGCACGTTTGAAGGATATCACAGAAAAGGAGGAGTTGCTTTCTTTTTTAGAATTAAAAGATAAGAGGGATTTGTTTTTTAGGTTAGATGTGTGGCGGTACCACCAACTGAGGCATTTTCTATCAGCTCTTCCGCAACCAATAAGGACGGTGGACAGTATGTATCCTCTGCAACGATTGTTTAGTCAGGAGACGAAATGTAAACATACAACTTCTTGTATTTATAAGATTCTTACTAATATTGCAGGAGCTGTCTGTCTGAAGTACCTTGAGAAATGGGAAAAAGAGCTTGGAACAAAACTAGAGGAAATTAATTTTAATCTCCAAACACGGAAAGGTTTCTTCACAGTGAGAGCTGTGAAAATGTGGAATAGACTCCCTCAAGAGTTTGTTCTGGCCAGCTCAGTGGATTGCTTTCAAAAAGTCCTGGATTCTTTCTTTGATACACAGAATATAACTGGATACTAACATTTATAGGTAAAGTTGATCCAGGGAATATTTGATTGTCTCTAGGGGGATCAGGAAGGAATTTTTTGCCCTGCAGCAGCAAATTGGATAATGCTTTGCTGGTTTTTTTTCCTTCCTCTGGATCAACTGTGGGAACAGGATTATAACTTTTTTTTTTTTTAATGGTTGAACTGGATGGACTTTTGTCTTTTTTTCAGCCAGACTAACTATGTAGAGGAGCATGATAAGAAGAAAATATTTAGATTGGCCCATAGTGCTGCAAATTTGATTATAGTGGAGATGAACTATAAATGTCTAGTAAGATGGTACTGTACACCGAGTGTAGCACATAAACAACGATCACAAAATTCACTGCTATGTTGGAGGGGATGTGGGTTTGAAGGTACCATGGCACATATATGGTCTGATTGTCCTAATATCCAAGAGTTTTGGCAAAGAATAATCCAACAAATTCAGGTCATAACAGGAACTAGAATATCAAATAACCCTTGGGTGTGTATATTTTTTATAAAGGAGACTTCACGGTGCAGCAATATAAGAATACGTTAATATTTCATGTTTTTGGAGAAGATAAAACCAAAGAATTTAGAAAAATGTGGGAGGAGTGGATAATTTATAAAACAACTAAGAGTTATGCAGAATTGAAAGGAATGTGAAGGAAAGACAAAGGAAAAGGAGAAGGGGAAGAAGAAGAAGGAAGAGGAAGGAAGATGAAAGAGAAGGGGAAGTGTGCGGCAAAGGAAAGAATGAGGTTAGTTGAGGGTTAAGATGATCGGGGAGGGGGGCGGGGGAGGGGGAAGGTGTAGGGTTTTTTCTTTGTTTAGTGTAAAAATTTTTGATATGGAAAAAATATTGTTGTAAAATGTGAAATAATGTATGTTAATTAAAATTAAATAAAAGATATAATAATAATAATTAAAAAAAAAAAAAGAACAATAGGACAGCAGGGGAGATCCCTGTACTAACATCAGACAGTTAGTACACTGGCTCCTCTTGAGCTGTCAGGTTTTTTTTCATTCAGCCCGCTGGATTGAATGAAAAAAACTACTGTATTAGTGTGTACCAGGTTTACAGCCCCATACACGCGCTGAGAATGTCAGATGAATGAGCGTCCATTTTTTTTTGCATGCTAGTTTCATATTGATAATGAAAAGGTTTCTAAAGTTCCGAAAATTCTCATAGGACAGAAAAAATTTGGCAGTGATGTCATGTATTATAATGTATTTATATTGCATTTTCAAACAAAAACAGTTCTGATTAAACAAAAATTGTACGATCTGGTATCTACGTGAAAAATTTTCGTGCTTGTCCTTTTTAATAGTTTTGGATGAAAGCTGATCAGATTATCGTACAATCGGTTCAAAAGCAGTATTTTTTTGTATGATTTTCTGATTCAGTGTACTAGACTTAGGACTTCACAAAAACCTGGCTAGGTAATGCTGGCTTAAAGCCAGCCACACATGGGTTGAAATCCAAACAAATTTTCTTTCGAAAATTGTAACTAAGAATTTTCATTCAAATTTTGCACCATTAGTGGGCCGCAGCAACAGCTGAATTTCGCACAGCTATTGAATTTGAGTGATCAGGCATGGTGGACATTTTTTGAAAAATGTACAAATTTTCTAATCAATGATAGGAGAATCGTGCGAGAAATATAATCGAAAAAGAAATACGCATGAGCTGTTACCTGTAAAGAAAAGAATATTCCCAGCCATGACATTTCTTTTCTGTAGCAACATGAGGTGAAATTGAAGGCTTGGTTGGTCGAATTTCGAAATCAATGGTGGAACCATCGAATTACAAGCTGCACAAAATTTCCAATTTTTTAAAGAAAATTTATTGGAATTTGACCCATTTATGCAGGGCTGTTACTTCCACTAGGCAAACTAGGCAGCTGCCCAGGGTGTACTGCCACCTAGGGGCACCTGGGTGCAGCACAGGCTGGCACTCTCTCTGTGTGGGATGTCATGAATGATCCTTCAGCTGAGGGAAGGGGTGGCAAAGGGGGAGAGGAGAAAGGACAGAGAAAGATGCTGGGTGTCTGGGGCCAGTGTAGCAGCTGAGTTGCTGCTCCTACCAGTGTTCCTCTCAGACTCAGTCCTTTACTGCAAGCTGGCTGGTGGCTGCTGATCACTGTGGAGTTCCAGCCCTTCTCTTCTCATTCATCAGTGGAGGCGGAGCTGCGCCTGTGGAGGAAGGTAATGTCTGATTCTGAGGTCTCGTGTCTGTCCATCCATTACATGGGCAATGTGTCACTGATTGTCGACATTATCATGATCCCACAGCCTGCTCTTCTAGTGCCTGCTGGGCCTGCTCATCTGTGGCTGTGTAGGTGGTGGTGTGTTGTGTCAGATCTGTCACTGTGAGGGATCGCTTAATTCAGGTGTTCTCTGTGTGTGTGCGTTGGGCTGCCTGCTGTTTGCAGCGTTTTATCTCCCCCCATTGCCTGGGGAATTCCAGCCTGGGATCTGTCAAAGCTATCTTATGGCACTTATTTTTGCAAATTAAAAGAAATTTAGCAGTTTCATGTTCTGTTAAATGAACATGTTCTACTGTTTTTACTTTTTTTTGGGGGGGGGGCACAAGTAGCTGGTCTTGCCTAGGGCGCAAAATAGTCTGCATGTATGGCCTGCAATCTTTTTGCTTGTGCCAGATCTGCAGAGAAATTAAAAGCTTCAGCTTTGATTTGTAATGGCACTTGTGACCTCTAGAGGGCAGTATATTCACAGAATTTTACATTGTTGCACAAATAGTAAGGCATGTATCAACCTTTTTTACTTCTCACCCATAGAAACTGTACTTGATTTTCCCCACAGGACTGTGTGTTGATCCTGAAAAATCCGGAATATGGACCTTTGCGAGCTCTTTCTGCAGAACGCTCATTCCCTCCTGGCGTGCTGTCATTGAGAAAATAAGACATCTCTGAATTCAAAGTAGCTGCCAAACTCCTTTGCAAAATACAATCCCCACCAGCAATGATAGATAAGTAGCAATATTTCATTCTGAACATGTAAAGCAATGACAGTATCAGCTCTGTATATATATATATATATTTAAAAAAGAATATTGTCACCTAGTCCAACCAAGCAGCTGTAGCCCTAAAAGGGAAATGTAGTGTTGGTCAATTATTTTTTAAATCTTTGTTTAAAGCTTACAAATAGACATGTGCATTTTGGTACGTATAAATTTATTTTCATCCAAAAATTTGATTTCAGGAGATTCGGATATACAAATCTCTGAATGGACGTAGTAACGTAACGAATCAGAAAAAATAACAAATAATGAAATTATCAAATGTATTCATTTTATTTGTTTCATTCAGATAATGGCACATGATTAGAAAGTAGGTCAAGCCCATGGGGAAATGAATTCAGTTTTGAAATTCAATCAATAACTGATTTGAGTAAAGTTGTGATTCAAATTGAACTTGTAATTAACATTTCATTTCTACAATCTAATGCAAATCTCAGGTTTGTAAAATTTGGGGCTGCCGCATTTTGCAGTATTTATTCCACTGCATCCAAAAATACTGAATCCTGCCAAATAGTTTTGATACATAAATAACAACTCTGCCGAAATATAGAATTTGAAAACGAATATATAGCAGTCTTCCGAAAAAAATGCTAAATTTTTCGAATCCATCTGGACTAATAAATATATGAAACAAATGCCAAATATAACTAAATGTATCCTGAAAATCAGTTTATCATAATAAGTATGATGAAGCAAAATTCTTTAATGAACCAATGCATGCTAAACGAACATTTCCAGCATGTACTTGTCTACTTCCAAGTTCATGTTCCCTATTGGCGGCACAGTGGCTTAGTGGTTAGCACTTCTGCCTGGCAGTACAAGGGTTGTTGGTTTGAATCCCAACTACAGCACCACCTGCTTGGAGTTTGCATGTTCTCCCTGTGCCTGTGTGGGTTTCCTCTGGGTACTCTGGTTTTCTCCCACACTCCAAAGATATGCAGGCAGGTTAATTGGATCCTGTCTAAATTGTCCCTAGTATGTGTATGTATGAATGTGAGTTAGGGACCTTAGATTGTACACCCCTTGAGGGTTAGGGACTGATGTGAATGTACAATATATATATGTAAAGCGCTGTGTAAATTGACAGCGCTATATAAGTACCTGAAATAAATAAATAGTAAATCTGTGCCATTCACCCTTGTTGGTCCATTTTGGGTGTTTGGAGCAACAATGCCTGTTGAGTGAGTGACCAATTCTTGGACCTGAATACTGCCATATTGAGGGATGGTCAAGAGTTCGTAGTCCTGTGTAACCTTCAAAGAGAGCAGCTTGGGGTTTACATAGGGAGAAGCGAGGGAGCAATGGAAAGGGGAAAAAGTAAACATACCTTACACCCCAGCTTCTGGAAAGTTGACTTTGGCAAGGGTAACATCACCTGGCCTTCCCATGGGATCTTGGGAAAGCTGAGGATCCCAAATCATATGCAAATTTAGGAACAATTTCTCCCAGGATTTGGAATCCTCAACATTCCCAAGATCCTGGAAGGAGACCCTGTAATAAAACCCCCACCTAAGGGAGCGCACTGGAAGCCAGGATGTAAGGAATGTTTTACTTTTTCTTCCATGTGCTTTTTATGTGTTATTGAATTTTTTTTATTTTTTTGGGGGTGTCAGGGCTAACAAATAGTAGAAAATGCAAGGTCTGCAATTGTATAATTTTGGCTATAAAACCAAGAACTGGTTTTACAGAAAAAAGATATCATTAACCACTTCAGCTCTCCCACCTGTATTCTCCTAGGAATCAAAACAATTTTTATATTTCTGCTGTGGACCCAATTATTTGGTGTTGACTTTGTTATTATTGAAGATAACAATGTCAGCACTTTGATGCATTAATGAATATAACACAATACAATGTAACAAATATTTGATTTGATTTTTTATTAAACTTTGATATAATCTCTGTATTACATCTGCTGATAATATGCATTTTGACAGCCAGGAATTGCCAATAAGAGCGACTGGGTGTGCTACATATGCCCTATGTACTCCAGTTAGTTTTTTTTTGGCCATACTTAGCACTCCCACAGTCAACAACCTCTTAAACAGTTGTACAGTGCTCAGTATAGATGCTTAAAAGAACATCTCTGTTATGGTTGAAATATTTGAAGGTGATTTGAAGGTGATTTTTACTTAAAGCGTGTATTTCAGACTTTGGTGGGTAACTGAAGGATAAATCACGCATGTTCTTCTAACTCAAATAGTGAGCATGTCCCACATCAGCTTGTGTCCTTGAGGTGAAATCTAAGGTATTATTCAATGTATGGTGGACTGCTCAATTATTCATCTCTTATGGAAGTTTGTCCTTTAAAAGAGCCTGACATCATTATTTGTCTTTGTAATGGTGGCAGCAGTTGAGCGGAATGGGCATTGTAGGGGAGGACGCTTATCTATGGCGTTACCTAGAAGGAGTTAGCTTGTTCTTTCACTTACCATCAATCAGTTAAACCTGAAATATGAGTTTGGACAGAGTTGGCTTTGAAGCGGAATTAAAGTTTTCCTCAGTGGGGGTTGGCTCTTGTTATCGCACACTGTATACTTACACATTAAGCACTCTTAGGCTGGCTATAGATAGATTGAAATTCTGAACCAGATGAATTTCGATCCATCTATGGGTAAGCTGATTGTACTGAAGTCTTTTTTTGTGCGTTCACGGCTAAAGCTGCCAACAGTAATCATTGCAGGGGCGGACTGACCATTTGAGCACCCGGGCACTGCCCGAGGGCCCGGGGGTCAGTAGGGGGTCCCATGAAATTCCCCTGGTACCTTTTTTATAGGCTTTTTTGGGTGTGCTTTGAGTGTGGGCAAGAACACATGGGCCCCATGATCCCCTATTGCCCGGGGGCCCCATGGGTTGTCAGTCCGCCCCTGAATCATTGTATTCTGCTAATGGGGAAACCTCCCGATGGCAGGACACAATAGCACAGCATGAAGGATTCCCCCATCATGACTGACTGTGATGATAGAGAAATTGAGTGCTTATCTTTCCTTCATCCATTGCATAATCTATGGCTTCCTTTACTTTTCATTGTGCCCTCCATCAGTGATGGCAGTCTGCTGCTACCATCCTACGTTGCTTCTTCTGGGTCCCACAATGCTTCATTTCGACCAAGCTCCTGCTTGCTTGTTCTTGGGCATACAGTCCAGCAAAAATTGAATGCTGGATGAAATGTTTTTTTACAAAAGAGACCTTGCATGCCTCTTCTGCTAAAATAATTCTAGCTCCCTGCAATTTTTGACAACAGTGAAATTTAAAGTGGGACTACATTGCATCTGCACTACAAACCAAAAACACTATTTAAATCATTTTTAATATCCAAAATAAACTCCCTCATCCATTCACATCTCCATATTTTGTTGCTGAGAAATCACTTTGAAAAAGACCCCTGTAGCATTTCTGTCTGTGGCCGTCTTAACCTCTTTGCACTGGCCGAACGCAAATGTGCGGCCTTCCGGTGTCTGGGCCTAGACACCGAGCAGCCGCACATTTGCATTCTATTAAACCAGCACACGTTTGGTACTCGTGGAAAGGTCCCGATCTCCTCTTTCGATCGGGACCTTTCCTGATCATGTGACCGCCGTGACAGCGAATCACGGCGATCACATGACCCTAAAACCCTGCCCTGCCTCCCTGACTTCTGGAACGCTTAAAGGGCCAGGAGGCGCCGACACCAAGGGGTTAAGTAGGGGCAGATGATTAATGTAGCATTTACTTCCTGGAATCCTTCTGCCCTTAACCCAGACATGCAGGCAGGAGAGAAAGCCCTTTCTCCTCTCCTGATGCCTCCTGGGATGTGTGACATCATTTGCCTAGGCATGAAAACAATGAAGTAACTGAATAAATATAAAAAAAAAAAGTTTAAAAACACGTAATTATAATATACCTTCCTCTGTTATTTACTAATGCTAACAGCATAAGGATTACAAAAATAGTCACTGTTGATTGAGAGAGTGAAGTTCCACTTTAATATTTTACGAGTTGCCACACTGAGAATGATTATGATATTAGACAGTCCACAGAATGATAGTAAAAATACTACCCAATATACATATCACAACCAAGGTTTGCTGGAGCTGTCAGCCTTGACGGTGAAAAGGTTGGAGTATGCTTCATTTGAAGCTAGTCAGTTAATAATACCTGTCACAGAAAGCAAAATTGAAATGTACAAAGAAATTTTACAGCTGAGAAAAATAATTGCTTGAAATGCCTAATAAAAGGTTGAAGCTTGAGAAAGTGTTCTTAAAACACTGAAGCATTGCAGTGTAATCGATAGATCTGCCACATCATTTCATCGGAACTTACCATAATCCAGTCCTTTTTGGGTGAGCCTGACCACAAATCCAGGGTTCACAGCTCCGGCCACGCTCAGACACATGGCTAGTGACAAGGTCAGAGGTATGGCATGGGAAAATACCATTGCTATGGCCATCCCTGCTACCTGTCCGTGGCTTCACTGGTACTATGGTTAAGCTGCAATCATTGCATTTATATGTTACTGAATGTGAAACCTCAACAAGGAAGAAATACGGAATGAGGAAGTGCCAGACTAATAATAGGGGACGTCCCTGTGCATGTATTCATTGTGCAAGGAGGCTGTGACTGTTGATTCTAGTTTTCTAGTATATGTGTACTAAACAAATGTCTTAAATAGTAACCCCACTTTCATGGGAAAAAAAAGCAAATTAACAAAAATAAATAGCAATATATATATATATATATATATATATATATATATTGCAATTGAATGTTATTAAAAATGACCTTTCCTTTTCAATCTGCGGTGCTGTAGTTTTTTGTAAAATGCAATGCAATATGGCAGCCTGGAAGTGTTCTGTACACAGTGTATGGAACAACATCCCCCTTAGAAATACTGGGCTTCCCCTGCAACAAAAATGTAATTTTTTTTTGTGAAATACTCCCAAAGGCAGGGGCGGACTGACAACTCATGGGGCCCCCGGGCAATAGGGGATCATGGGGCCCCTGTGTCCTTGCCCAAACTCAAAAAAGCCTATGAAAAAGGTACCAGGGGCATCTCATGGGGCCCCCTACTGACCCCGGACCCTCGGGCAGTGCCCGAGTTTCCAAATGGTCAGTCCCCCCTGCCCAAAGGGAAATCAGGTCTAAAGGGATGCAGACCATGCCACATTCCTTGTTAGAGCCCTGCAAGTGTAGCAGCTGACTGATAATTATAAAGTCTCTCACATTCACTTTACACATGGACACGATCAAACAAATAGCTCTTTCTTCGGAATAACAAAAAGTAAAAATATACAACAAAGTTTGCTAAAATCCTTACAATGTACATAGATCACCAGAGGGGGATGTTTTTATCTCAATGTAACATCCTCCTAGGTAGCTAGGGGGAACTAGAGTTCTAATTTTTAGTTAGAAGGGCTGAATTGCTGCCCAGGTGGTTAAATTTTGGTTGGGGCTGAGAGGCTCTGCAGACAAGCTCTCTGGGACTTCCCCATACTCTAGAGTTTTGGAGAAAATTCTAGAAGCAGTAGGAGAGAGTGGGATCAAGGGATCCTGGCCAGTCCCCAACAGGAGGTTTGGCATGGGGCCAGGACAGCCCTTAAGAGTGTTTGAGCTTGCTCAGCAGGAGGGACAATTTGGGTGGAAGATGGAGAATTGAGGCTGGAGAGCAAGAGCCTGGGAGGGGGCCCAGATGGGAAGGGGCTTGCCTATAGGCAGGGAAGCTTGGAAGGAGGAAAGCTCAGGACTTCACTGGCCTCCTGAGAGAGGACCACCTATGCAGCAGGGAAGGAGGGGCCCAGCAGAAGGCCTGAGACCAGCACCAACCCAGCAGCAGCATAGGAGAAGTACTAAGTGAGTAGACCTGCACCACCTGGGCTAGTAAGGAGAAGGAGCACGCTGGTGGGAAAATGGATTAGCTACTACCCAGGACTGATTCTCTTAAAGTGACAGACACTGGATCCCCTGCCCAGGGATTCACCCAGAAGAGCTAGATAGGGAGTATCTGGGGTCTGGGGTGGTACTACAGGAGATGCTGGCTAGCATCTCCAAAAAGAAGGATCTGTTCTTTTGCTGCTAAAGTTCTAATTCCCCTAATAAAATCCAAAAAACAAGCTCAAGAACTGGTTACTGTCTCCTGGATGTATGTCTGGATGGGAAAATGCATGTTGCCTGGCTGTGCAGGACTATAGGGGGATCCAAATCTCTAGCAACTCCTAAGGGAGTAGTGCTACATCAACAAAAAGTGGAGTCACCCTTTAATATGATGTTATACCCATACCTCCTTTCAGAGGCGTCCCTAGGGTTGGTGTCACCCGGTGCGGTAACACTTGGTGACACCCCCTCCGATGATCTCCACAGAATGGATCGGATCTGCGGATTGAGCATAATGGATTGGACTCCGATCCATTATGCTCAATCCGCAGATCCGATCCATCCTGTGGGGATCATCAGCTTTCTTTACAACTTACCTTTTCTTGGAGTGGGTCCGGTGTAGCGGCAAGATGTGTCTCCCATGTAGATATGTCCCCCCTGAAGCAACTGCACATGTCCCGGTTTCAGGCACGATCTATCGACATGAGAGACACATTTTCCCGTTACACCAGTGTCACCCCATATAGGTTGCATGCCGACGATCCCTGCAGGATCGTCGGCATGCAACCTATACGGGGTGACACTGGACCCGTTCCAAGAAAAGGTAAGTTGTAAAGAAAGTCGACGGATCGGATCCATCCTGTGGGGATCGTCAGCTTGGTTTACAACTTACCTTTTTGTGGAGCGGGTCCGGTGCCACCCCGTGCGGTCGGTGTCACCCGGTGCAGATCGCACCCCTCCCACCTGCCTCGGGACGCCACTGTCTCCTTTACTAATCCAAATGCATCAATCATGCTTATTAAAACGGACCGTTCATTGACTTTACAAGTCTACATGAACAGTTTCTTGGCATGTCACAATACAGCAACAACTTCATTTTTCAAAAAGCAGTACCTTTTATTATTAGAAAGCTGTCCTTGAGCTCAATTCAAGGGACTTTCCCTAGGCTGAGATGGTTTCCTCAATCTGCTTCTCACAGGAGGACACATTTCCACAATCTCATCTCTGCCAGTGAGCAGACTACTTTATTGTATCAGGTCACAGGGTGTGAGGCAGGGGTAGGGTGCTGGTCTGTATCATTTGAAAATTTGTGAACGCAGTCAGGACCTGCACAGGCACTAGGATTTTACTTTTTCATCTCTAAGCCAGTATTTCATCCTGGAAGTGAATGATGACAATGGATGATGACTGAATAAAGATGGCTCCATTCGTCTGGAGAGAAAAGTAGAAAGGGCATTGTCAGTGGGGAATACTGTGAGAGGTAATGAATACCCAATACCTAAAAATGTTGCACTTACTGTGTTCACATAACATGAAAATACTTACCTTAATATTAATGCACTTTAAACAAGATGGTGCAAAGAGCAATGGTGCTGTGCGAGGTTTAGAAGCTCATGGTAACCAATCATAAAACACCTTTCACTGATCTGACTGCCATAAACTAGAATCTGGATACTGTTGGTTACTTCACTCTACCTATTATGGGGCGCTACACCAGTGGTTGAGGGGTGTGATAAAAACACGCCTCAACTATGGGGTTTTACCGCCTTTTAAACTTCAATCATTTTGTAATTTTTTTGGGATCTTGGTTTATTACTAGTTTTTATTCCACTTTCTTAATCATTCACTAGTTTCCTTCTACCATCATGTTTCATAAAATACATATATAGATATAAAGAATTTCCCTTCTTTGTTGTTGCATTGGGTATATACATGTTGGTAACTCACATACGATTAAATATCTATTTTGATTTTTATCATTTGGTATTATCTATTAGGTTGATATTTACAATATTAATAACAAAAATACTTAAATTTTTCATATCTTTACTTATCGTTATTCTCTTGATTGCTGCATTGTTGTTTGATACTGTTAATGAGGTTGATTCTCATAAAAAGGAAAAAATATGTATGTATCCATGCATATAGAATTTAATAAAATTGTAATTATTATAGGTACTTATATAATGCTGTCAATTTGCGCAGCGCTTTATATAAATATAGAACATTCACATCAGTCCCCGCCCCCAAGGGTGTACAATCTAAAGTCCCTAACTCAGATTCATACACATACTAGGGCCAATTCAGACAGGAGCCAATTAGCCTACCAGCATGTCTTTGGGTTGTGGGGGGAAACTGGAGGAAACCCACGCAGGCACAGGGAGAACATGCAAGCTCCAGGCAGGTGGTGCCATGGTTGGGAATTGAACCAACAACCCTAGTGCTGCCAGGGGAAGTGCTAACCATTTAGCCACTGTGCTGCCCCATTTTATAATGTTTATCCACATATGTGATGGGACCCAACAATTTGTATATTTAACATTATTTATATTAAATAATATTTATATTTAACTGCTTACCTTCAGTTATAGTGTATAATCTTTTTTTAAGTTATAATACTGTTTTACTGCTCTGCTCCCTCAATGTGCCTACGTTGATAATTGCTTTGGAAACTATAATGGCAGTGAGTATATAACCCCTGGAGGTTAGGGTAAATGTGAGGCTGATGAAGGAGGTGTGATTTGGCCTCCGAAGCGTGTTCCGATTGGTCACAGCACCCTGGGCATTTGACAGCTCCTTGGACAGCTCTCAGACAGATTCGGCCTCCAGCGGGGGGGCTCCCTGGCAGCTTACTTGGATCCCTGCTTTGGCTTCATAGTGCTCCTGACAGTGGCACTGATGTGCACTGGACTCTGGACTGATGTCTCCATTTGGAGCTTGATTCAATGCTCATTACTGGAGATGTCTGTGAGTGCATAATTATTGCATTTTATACCCTTTTTCATTTAATAAAATTTTTTGCTACATTATTGGCGGCTTGGCACCTCTCTCCCCATCCCTTTTCCCTTATGCAGCACTTGGTATCACTCCGCCTGAGACAGGCACCGGCACTACAGAGGAAGCATCGGCTTATGTGGTTCCTGCTCTCTCTGCCGCTGCCTGCTTCTTCCACTGTCGGCACTGGATCCATGCACTCTGATGCTCTGGGATTGGTGGGTCGGCAAGCCCAGATTGCGATTACCAGGTTGCTGATCCCAACCATGCCCTTCCTTAGTTTGAGGTTGAGAGCCACATCAAAAGGCCCCGTGGGCCATAGGTTGAGCACCCCTGTCTTCAACCCTGCTGTTGAATTCTACACACAGCTGAATGATCAGAGGAGGGACTCACCCCAGTCCCTCTCTGTCCTTATGACTGTAAGAGTTGGTGAGAGACAGTGAAAAAGTCAGCAGGCACTGCTAGGCTTTCTTAACCACTTGCCTACAGGGCACTTTTACCCCTGCCCAGGCCAATTTTCAGCTTTCAGCGCTGTCATACTGTGAATGATAATTGCGCGGTCATGTAGCACTGTACCCAAAGTAC